CATCTCTGCCACTTCCCACCCCTCCCGCAGGCAGGTCAGCAGCCACACTTCTGTGTATGCTCTCCATGCAGCAGCCCAAAGGGCCCTGGCGCCCAATCCCTTTTGCCAGTTGCCAATGCCAGAACAGAACAATTACCAAGTGATCCACACTGTTATCCATTCCCGGATGCTGACAGACAGGCTAGGATACCATCCTTACCCCTCCTAGCTAATAGACACTGATGGACCTCTCCTCCATGGATGTAGCTAGTTCTCTTTTACAAATCTATTACGATTTTGACATTAAGAGCCTCTAGCAAATAAATCTTCAGGTTGTGGTGCAGTGTTGTGTGAAAAAATACCAGACATAGGAAAATGAAGCGGCGATTTAAATAATCGGCGCTTAATTTGCATCAAAATGGCCACCGTGTGTGCCGATCAGCTGTTTGGCGGCACAGCGGGGCAGTCTGGATGAGCTGCAGTCGACAAGGGAAGCATTTGTCAACCGCTCCGGTATGCCTTGTTAAATCGCCGCTTCATTTTCCTATGTCTAGTAAACTCATCTACATGGTTCCATCAACGGAGCCATGTAGTCTAGACATACCCATCCTGATTTGGGGTTGCAGTTGACTAGCAGTTCTTCAAACTAGAAGCAGTGCAGTGTGGGAATTATTTTCATAGATACTGAAGTCAATGGGCACATTGGAGGCACAGTTCCTCTAAAAATCAGACCCCAAATGATTGTGTTCTTACCTGCTACTATCACCTTGGATATTTGCAGAGCAACAAGCCCCCGACCTGTAAAGGTTGGGGACCACTGGTCTAGACATACCCTTCGTTTGGTGCTCACAAGTTTGTATGTTATGAGAATGAGTAAATAACTTTCTCCACGCCAATCATGATTTGATAGACTTCTATCATATCTCCTGTTATGTCTTCTCTTTTCCAAGCTGAAAAAAGTGTCAATATTATTAATTTATCCTCATATGGAACATGTTCTACATGCCTAATAATTTTATTGCCCTTTTCCAATTATATCTTTTCTGAGTTGGGGTGACCACATCTGCGGGCACATGCTGGCGCCGAGTGCAAGGGCATCCCCGCCCCTGGCATGCCCCAGGACGCGTGGCTCCGCCCCCGAATCCGGCGTGTGAGTGGCCCCGCCCCCAGGCGCCCGGGAGCCTCTAAAGGTTGGGGACCACTGATCTAGACAGTGTTTTGTCCTGCTGTGAGGGCAGCCCGGGGGCATTTGTGTGCGCCCACCAAGTGCTCGGGGCTGGCCTGGCCCTGGGCACGTGGCGCATGCATGGTGCCGGTGCTGGTGCCGGAGCCGGCCCCGGGCGCATGGTGCTTGGGGGGGGGAGGGGAGGCGTGCCGGCCCTGGGTGTGCGGCATTTGGAAGGGGCGCTAGCCCCAGGCGCGCGGTGCTTTGGAGGGGGGGAGCACCGGCCCCAGGCGCATGGCACTTGGGGGGGAGCGCCAGCTCCGGGCGCGCGGTGCTTTGGGGGTGCGCCAGCCCCGGGCATGTGGCCCTTAGAGGGGGCACCGACCCCGGGCATGCAGCTATGGGGGGGGCCCCACCCTGGGCACACTGATATGGGGGGGCCGCCCCCGGGCACGCAAGTGTCCCCGCCCCCTGGCGCCCGGCGGGCAAACGGCCACGCCCCCTGGCGCCCGACAACCTAAAGAGGTTGGGGACCACTGGCATACAGTATTCAAGATGTGGGTGTACCATGGATTTTTATAGAGGAATATGTACATAAAAACTCAATATGGGAATGGCTTTAACAAGGTAGTAGTGGGAGGGGCTATTTGTTATATTTACTCACATGGTTATAGAATCATAGAATACTAGGACTGGAAGGGGCCTCAAGAGGTCATCGAGACCAGTCCCCTGCCCTCATGGCAGGACCAAATACTGTCTAGACCATCCCTGATAGTTAAGACTAGGTTAGATAAATGTCTATCTCCAGAGATGGAGATTTCACAACGTCCCTGGGCAATTTATTCCGGTGTTTGACTATCCTGACAGTTAGGAACTTTTTCCTAATGTCCAACCTAAACCTCCCTTGCTGCAGTTTAAGCCCATTGCTTCTTGTTCTATCCTCGGAGGCCAAGATGAACAAGTTTTCTCCCTCCTCCTTATGACACCCTTTTAGATACCTGAAAACTGCTATCATGACCCCTCTCAATCTTCTCTTTTCTAAACTAAACAAACCCAGTTTTCAGCCTTCCTTCATAGGTCATGTTCTCTAGACCTCTAAGCGTTCTTGTTGCTCTTCTCTGGACCCTCTCCAATTTCTCCAAATCCTTCTTGAAATGCAGTGTCCAGAACTGGACACAATACTCCAACTGAGGCCTAACCAGCACAGAGTAGAGCGGAAGAATGACTTCTCGTGTCTTGCTCACAACACACCTGTTAATGCATCCCGGAATCACGTTTGCTTTTTTTGCAACAGCATCACACTGATTCATATTCAGCTTGTGGTCCACTATAACCCCTAGATCCCTTTCTGCAGTACTCCTTCCTAGAGAGTCACTTCCCATTCTGTATGTGTGAAACTGATTGTTCCTTCCTAAGTGGAGCACTTTGCATTTGTCTTTATTAAACTTTATCCTGTTTACCTCAGACCATTTCTCCAATTTGTCCAGATCATTCACAACCCCTCCTAGCTTGGAATCATCTGCAAACTTATACTGGGGTGTCTCAATATAATATTCAGCAAAATGTCCTCAACAGCTATACAACATACATTTCACCTGGTCTGTACTATTAGCTTAATGATGACGGGAATTCAGGATTTCCTTGTGCAATATAATAGAATGAACTGCGTACAGGCAGAACCTCAGCAATGAGGAGGATAGACTAAGCTTGAGTAAAAAAAACAATAAGCCCTTTGTCACATAACTTTCACACTATGTCATTTTTCCCTCATCAGGTTTTTTAATGCACCCTGGAGTGGTCTAAAGTATTGTGCACAGCAAATGTCACCACTTTAAAAAACCCTCCTCTAATGACAGCTTGTCAAGGCATCACCAAAGCGATTTAGAGATGAGAGAAGAAAAAATCAATCCCCCTTTCTCTGCAGCCCTCTGGGTTTTACTACTTAACAACAAAAATTATGTATTTAATGATGAACATCTGCTTACCAAGTTGCTCCGATAGATTCCGGAGGTACTGTGTACTCTCTTCTGTGAAAGCCTGCAACAAGTTCACTGCTTGTTGTAGTTCATCCAACTGGAAAATACACAAAAGAAGGTTACAGGGAAACTTGAGAGAGAAAATGCTTTAGGAATGTAGCAAGCTGGTTGAATAAAGCAGAAGCCAAACCAAAGCATTTGGTGATGATTTCATTAGAAATGTACATTAATTTCCATTTCATAACTCGTGATGCAGGTTTGGAGTGTAGGAGGATATTGAAATACGACAGCTGATGCTTTATGTTTATTGCTGGGAATCATTTATTAAACAATGTACTACGTTCAGTGATCTCATTGCCTTTGAGAGAGAATTCTATTCTCTATACCAAACCAGATAATTAGTCACTTTCATAGTCTGACATATCTGAAGACAAATGATTCAGACAAAATAGGTCAGCTGACACTTGTTTGACCATTAATGATTTTTAATCTCTTTAATACATTTCAGATTCTATAAAAACTCACCATGATTTCCATGCAGTCAAAGACCTCACCCTGGCTATCTAGTATTTGCTGATAGTTTGGCTTGCTGCTGAGAACTTTGGCCTGTGATGCTCCAAGATAACTAGCAGGTTCCATTTGTACTTCATTCATCTTGAACTGCTCCAGTTGTCTTGAAAACAAAAACACAGTACACATGTAACCACTGCACATGGGGAGTACCCACTTCCAATGGCATGGGCATGGTTACAAGAGGATTATTTGCATTTCTGCTATCTGCCATGGGATCTCCAAAGTGTTCCAGTAAAACACAATTTAAAACTTATCACAAATACTGCCAGGAAGTCAAATCCTGACTACATATCCCAGTTAAACATATTTCCATATTCACTACATCTCCAAAGACAAGACCAGTGTGTACTTTTCATTTCTGAGTCCTTTGTTGAGTATTTTTAAACAAGATTTAATTCCTTTAATACATTTTCTTCCATGTGTTACTCATGCTGTCAGCCCTGAAGAACAGGAATTTCTTGAATGACCTTTGCTGCTGCTTCATTCTGCAACTGTGGGCTGATATATTTATGTTAAACTATGCATGGATCACTCTATTTACAACTGATCACGAAGTGCTGAAGTCTTTTAATGTACACAATTTGAGTTCTAGAGCTTTACAATTAAATACAATAGAGGATCAAGTTAACCAGTGTCCAGATTTAATATGGAGAATTTAATAGTGCTAATTTTTGGCTTAAAGGAACAGACAGAAAAGTATAATAATCTAACCTGGACATTTCTTCTGCACTTTTCTGGAAACTCAGTAGAAGCTGATCCCAAGTTTGAGACTCCGTAGAAAACCTTTAGAATGAATGGATGAAATATAGTTACCACATACTGTGGGAGAGGAATTGCCTTTCTTGGGCTTCACCTATGTAAGCAAACTAGAGAAATTACATCAGAACCCTAACTTTACTTTGGGCCAGAATTTTGCCTTCTGATTTATGAGACACATCTAGGCCAGTGGTCCCCAACGCATTTGTGTGCGCCCGCCGACAACCTAAAATTAAAACAAGAGTGTTTCAGCCAGACTTTTTAGAGCAAAAAACTGCTTACTATTTGGAAACGGTGCCATGGGGTTTACTAGATGCTGCGGTCTGAGCGCTGGGTTCTTCAACAAGACTACATCTCCCATGACGCACTGCAGCAGGGATACACAACCTATTTTCCGTTGTGTGCTGCATATGAAGCTCTGTGTCAGGTAGGCTGCATCCACACAACATATTTATACAACTCGGACATCTGCTAAAGAAAGGAAGGGTTCGTATTCATAAAGGCTACATCTACACTGGCATGATTTTCCGGAAATGCTTTTAACGGAAAAGTTTTTCGTTAAAAGCATTTTCGGAAAAGAGCATCTAGATTGGCACGGACATTCTTCCGCAAAAGCACTTTTTGCGGAAAAGCGTCCGTGCCAATCTAGACACACTTTTCCACAAAAAGGCCTCGATCGCCATTTTCGCGATCGGGGCTTTTTTGCGCAAAACAAATCTGAGCTGTCTACACTGGCCCTTTTGCGCAAAAGGACTTTTGCCCGAATGGGAGCAGCATAGCATTTCTGCAAGAAGCACTGATTTCTTACATGAGATCGTCAGTGTTCTTGCGGAAATTCAAGCGGCCAGTGTAGACAGCTTTTGCGGAAAAACTTGTCAGTCTAGACACAGCCATCCAGATTCAGATGGGGACAGATTCAGCCATATAATAAACAGTGCTGACTTAAATGGAGTTAGGGTTGTTTATACTTCAGCACAGCTAGGCTCAAGATTTGTGGCTGCCACATGAATGCTAGTGAATATCTACAGAGAAGAAGATGCTTGTAATTCATACCCTGATCGTGGTTTAATTCTAGGACCAACAAAGGCTTAGAGGTTGCCCAAAGTCTCTAGAAACTTTAAAATAAACCAGCGACCTAAAGCACCAGGAAGACTGTTTGTAGAGTCTAACTCCCACTCTCAATCTCAGAGTGGGTTTCTCCTTTTAATAAAACCCAAGTTGGTTTTATGTTAGGCTTCCCTTCACACAGCATCCTGTCACCATTTCAGATTCTCAAATCACTGTTGATTATACCACATACTGTGAGAAAAGGCCCAACTGTGTCCATTCAGCCATACAAAGCCAGACCTAGGCTCAGTTAATCTTACCTAGTTATATATTCCTTCATCTGGGCCAATGATGTGTTTAGTGCAGGGTCTGATGAAATACTAAAACACAGAAATAAAAGATCAGTGAGATTCTAAGGAGATGTTTAGGGGCACTATCCACACTATGCAGGATTTGTGATGACTGTTTAGTGTTTGTGCAGTACCTCTGTGTAAATGCAGTGTATTATACTTCAATCAAAATTCTGGTTATTCCAAGATATAAATGTAAACAAGAAAACTCGGGTTGATGTGCCAAGCACTACAATAGAAACATTGGTGCCATGACTATTTAGATAAACATTCTCCTTTAGTCATCATGATTCTATGATTAGCTATTAAAGACATTAAATATAGTTTCCACATTTTTCACATGTATAGCTGAAGCATACCTGCATAACCTATTTGACTAAAGTGTGGAATTTTAGCACCCATAAACTTCAAGTTCTTATGTAAGTTTCGTAAGCAAAAATAGTGCCATTTTAGCCTACATCTGCACTGTTGTACCCAATGACCTGCAATAGGTCATTACTGTCTGCAATATGAGTCTTGACAAATTTCATGAATTGTAATGGAAAATAATTAGGCAGGTACTGGGACAGAAATAGCAAATTCCAGCCCCATGACAGATAGTCATTACCCGGTCAGCTCTTCTGTACATTTCTTTAGCGTTCCATCTAGTTTCAATCTCTCAGTGCAACGCATCAGCTCTTCTGAAACTGAATTCACTGCAGGTGGGGACAAGACAACCAGAAAGTGTGAAGTAGTTAAGCATCGGACAGTACCTGTTCTTTCCAGAGCTTACTTAAAGACTAAAGTAAAATACATGGAACACCAGTACTCAGGCCTACTACACAACACTCCGTTTTCAGCATAACCAGTTCAGTTCCCTAACAGAGGTCATTCCAGATATCAGTCACTCTAACTTTGTTAAGAGAGAATATATATAATTAACACTTACATTGGGCATTCTCTTGGCACCACTGATGATGCACAATCTGTTATTAGAGCATTACTTTCAAGGGATTTTTTTGGCTGCTCAAGACCCTTCTCTCCCAAGATATTTAGTGAGTGACCTTTCTCCTGTGCAAGTTGAGAGCCAGAGAAAGATTAAAAATTGGATGTCTGGTCACCCCAGTAAAGGGACAGGCCCCTATTTAAGCCCTCCTGCAGGGGTCCTGACCTTTTATTAACAACAGGTAAATTGTCCCTTCTTTTCTGTTTCCCCCACTGAAGTACTGTCAGATCCTACCCCTGGCTGGATCCCTGCTCACCAGCCACCCGTCCACCAGCAATGGGCGGGGGGAAGGAGTGGAGATGTAGCACACAGTTCTGGCTCTCTTGTTGGTCCATTAGAGCATCCCATGCTAGGGCCTCAGCCCATTTCTGCTGCAGTGACTGCTGAGTGTACACTGGCACCAGGCAGTGGCCGGTTGTATGTTGCCTCTGTTGCCCACCTATAGGTCCTTTATGTGCTCTCACCTCACTGTCCTCTCCCTGCTTTGCCCCTTCACTCCCTCCCAGCACCACTGCTCCCCGGTGGGACATGTCCTGCTCAGAGCACTGTGCAGGGAACCAGCCCTTGGCCAGAGTGCTCAGGTCACCAACAGCCTACCCAGCAGGCTTCTTCCTTTCCCCACCGCCTCTGGCTGAGCTGGCACCCTGGGAAAGCCCAAGACCTTCCAGCTTGGGGTGATGTTCAGTAGAAGCCAAGCCATCTATGTGCCAAAGCTTCACACAACACTGGCATGTGGAAGCCTCTCTGCCATTCAGATAAGCTCTTGGAGTGGCAGGAGGAAGCAAACCTGTTCACACTCCGAACCTCCAGACTCCACAGCAGCCCCCAACAGAGGGGCATAGCACCCTCTTCACTGCAGTCCCTCCACCCCAGGTCCTGCCCCATCCCCTAGGCACCCTCCCCTTCTGAGTCACCTCTGGCTGGGTTCACTGAAGTCCCTACAGTTAGGTTCCTAGGCCTTGATGCACAATGCATCCTTTGGGCTTAACTCTCTCCTGCACATAACCTAGCTGCCTCCAGCTACAGCATGTCAATGGCCAGCAGCAGCCTGAAAGTGTTAGCTGCCTTTTGACATTATGCAGAAAGGAAAGGACAAGCTGCTTCCATCTACATGGTGAGATGGTGGTGGGCGAGATGAGCTCTACAAAGACACAAGCCAAATCATCCCTTCTATCCCCCCACACTTCTCATAGTTGGAAATAGCTCCTAACCCTTCCCTCCCAGACAGGTCCAAAAGGCTGCTGCTCACATTCTGGTGTGAACCTTAGCAGAAATCGAGGGAGAAGTTGGGGATGTGACTCTGTGTGTACCCCACACCATGTTGGTTCAGAAACATACTCCACCTGATAACAGGAGAGGCACGTCTGTCCCAAGAGCTCAGCCAGGCATACAGGATGAAGAATGAAGGGCAGGGAAGGTTAAGTCAGTCAACCCCCTATGAGACAGGTATATGGTACGGTGGGGGAAGAGAGGGTGAAGAGCATTGGGTAGGGAGGGTTAGGTTGATCAGTCATCTCCCCCCATGTTAAGGAGATGTATGGAAGTCTGTGCATGTCACCTGTTCCTGTGTGGAAGGGCAGAGATGTATGTCACTCCTCCCAAGTAAACCCTAAAGCCTTAAAGATAAGGTAAAAAAGAATCCCGCTACTCATTTTTTCTTGTGAATAGGGGATAAGTCAACTTGATATTAATTTAAGTGTTTTTACAGCATAGTTCTGATTGATTGCTGTTGAACTCACTTGAATACAAGTAATATTACAGGTTGTCCCATATTTAGCATATGGAAATATCACCCTAATTATTACTTTTCTCTTCTTCACATGTATAGCAGTACTCTGTCATTAAACAGACCGTATGAAGACCCACCGTTTGCTTTAAAAGCCTCAGGGCTGAAGCCATCAGTCTGCTTCAAGAAATCCTCAAGCTTCTGGGCGGAGAACTGGGAGAACAGAGAGGTTTTTGTTTTGTTTTGTTTTTTAAGACTATTCAAAATGTCCCATCTGACACTGGGCTGCTTTTCATTAGACTACTCAGTGAGGTGAAGCTGTTAAAGTTTTGCCAACTGCAAAAGGAAGATGATTCTAGAATCTCAGCAAGTTTTATCTTCCAAGATTTTTACAGGTTGAATCTCCCTAGGCCAGCACCTTGGGATTTGACTGGTACTGAGCCAGAGAATTTGCTGAATCACGAGAAGTCAATATTGTCTAGCAGCATTTCCAAACACTTCCATTGCTTACTGGGCTCTTAGAAGACATTTAGGGCTAATTTAGAACTAAACAGCACAGAACACTGAGAGCCAGGACTGGTAGTTGTAAACAAACTTTATGACACAGCAGGAAACTTGGAACTGGGCACTGGCATCAGTGTGCAGCCAAAACTAAACAAAAACTTTCAGTACTGTAATATTACACAGCAAGAAACAGTACCTTGGTATGAATTACATTATAAAATCCTACAAACCAAAAATCAGAGCTTACTGCACTTGAACATTTCCTGGCAACTTGGGAACCAACACATTAACATCCCATAGTTGGTGTGACAGAGTAAAATGTGTCAGTCTAAAGTTCTACAAACTATTTAGATTCCCTCACGTGTTTTACAGTTCTCAGTTTATAAACAGTAAAGTTTAGCTTTTGGTATCAGTTTCAAAGTGTTTGCAATCAATTAATCTTCACAACACTTAAGAAGTTTATTCTCCCATTTTACAGAAAAGGAAAGCAAGTCACAATGAGGGGACCACCTCCCCTTACCCATGGAGGGTTTAGGAGGGACTAAAACTCAAGAGTCCTGCTATTGCCAGACCATACCTCACAACACTTGATTATTCATTTATAGACTAAAATGCAGCAAGAAAAATAAAGGATAAGAAGCAGAACAGTACACACATTGGCTGTTAGCAAAGAAGTTTCTTTGGTGACCTAGGACCTTACCTGGAAACTAGACAGCAGGAGCATGGAAAGCCTGTCAGTCTCAGGTAAATCAAGGCTGATTGATTTACTTAGCTCTAAAAATTAAACACAAACACATTTAAAAGCCACCAGTTTACCTCAAACTGTGAGCAGCTGAAATGTCCCTGAGCTGCATATTGTAAGTACTAATGCATGTACACACAAGAACAGGGACAGTCTACCCAGCATCTTCATTGCCAGAAGAGCCAGTCTCAAGTCCTAAATCGGGAAGTAAAGCAGCTGCTACATGTTGCATGTCAGAGGGATACTGAAAACTTTAACACAGAAGTAAGTTCCTTTTTAACACAAGCAGCCATTGAGAGTGTTTTTTAATTCCCTAATGTGGAGGCCTGTATTTACTTCTGCACTGGAGAACAGTCTGTCAGGCTTGAGCTGGGAGATTCCTTCTTATGCAGGCCATAGTAGATGAATCTCTCACACCATAGAACTATGGGCTGCTTTGTACAATAAAAGAAATAAAACAGGTTTACAGGGAATCAAACATAAGACTCAGTCTCTGGGCTGCCTGCATGGAATATACTCTTTGACAGGAGCTTCCAACTTTTACAGTGAAAGGTTGGATGAGGTACTGCAGATTTTTATAAAGCAGAAGCAGTGATTTGCACTTAGCCAGATGGGGCTCTTCACGTTCAGAATCTCTATACTCACTGGACGTTACAAGTGCATATATACACGTTTCCAAGCAAAGTCAGGGCCCAACTACTGTATTGGTACTTTAAACATTGTCAAAGTTCCACTTGTCCAGGATTTGACCACCGGGCTTTCAGCACAGTTTAACCACAAGGAGGTATATGGCACCCACCTGTGACATCCTGGTGAAAAGGAGGGAGTGACTTCCGGCGGTTGGTTCCCTTCAAGCTGGAGCGACACCAGGAGCGACGTGTGATTTGTGGGCTAATGGCAAGTGCCCTCGGGGACAAGTTAAATGAACTTGATGTAAGGCCTTTCTTGGGACTACCTCTCCAGGGAGATATCCTTTTGGGACTGGGACTCTGAGCAGCTTTCTTGGGGCTAGGACTAGGACAAGATCTTTTCCTGGTAACCACTCCAACTTTGTCACTGGGACTTGAGCTCACATTAGCCTTGTTTCCAGCCCCAGGACTAATAGTTTTGTTTGGCTTTGAAAAGCATTCAGGCTCCACTTTCGTCTCACTGGGCTCACATTCTAGAAGAAATGCACACAACAGATAAAATCCACTGAAACACTAAAGCAGAGGGAATGAATTCTCATTGGATTTGGAATATGAATTCAGGGCCTTTCACCTATGCATCACTGTTTCAAATTCATCTCAGCATGATAGTGGCTGAAAGATGTTGCAATGTGATGGTTGCGTTACCTTTTTCAGGAAACTGCCAAAAGAGTCAGTAGGCAAACCATTTGAGCCCCCTGTTCCCACCTGCTCCTTCAAATCACCTTTAAACCCAGCCTCTGCAGAGTCTAGGAAGGGAGGAAGGGCAGGGCTGTAGAGATGAAACAAGATTGGGAAAGCATAATCTGGCCCAGTATGTGCACTCACAGCTTGGATTTGCAATCCAATGCTACAAAGCCCCTCACACTCTGCTGACATTATCCCCGTGTATGAAGCAGCTCTAGAAAACCAACTCTACTGCTGAGAAATGTGTCACAACACTGTCATTTATCCAGGTAACTAATAATTGATTCTTTGAAATCAAACCTTACCTTGTGTCCCATCACTGTTCTTCCCATCTTCAACACCAGGGAGGTTCTGTTGGGGGACATTTTATGAAGTAAATATTTTCTAGTTCCACAAAACAAAAATCCACATGGAGACAAGGGATGGGAAGAGATGAATAGGCAAGATGCCTGCATGGAGGCTCTTCCAGTCTAAAGCTTAAAAAGATGCATAGTGAAGGACAGTTCACCCTAAGTTCCCTAACTGATGCTCTTGGAGATGTGTTGCTCATGTCCATTCCACATTAGGCATGTGCTTGCCACATGCACTAATCCCAGAAGTTTTTGGACATCTTGTGGAGTGGCACCTGCATGACTCGCTCCACCCTCAGTTCCTTCTTCCCAGAAGCAACAACAGCGAGGAAGGAAGGCAGGTTGTGGAATGGACATGAACAACAATCTTGACCACCACTAGTTTTGGAACATGTAACTGTCTTCTTCTAAGATTGCTTGCTCATGTCCATTCCACAGTAGGGGACTCCAAGCAGTATCCTTAGAGCCGGGGTGGGGAACCTTTTTTGGGTCAGGAGCCACTGATTCACAGAAAAATCAGTCGGAGTCTGTACACCACAGAAGTGAGAAACAAAAACAAAAAAAACCCCAAACATCCACACAAAAACAAAAGACCCCATCACTGACGTGGTCCTTGATTGCGAAGGGGAAAGACACTCCCTGCCTTCCACTCCCACACCAGAGCCAGGGGGCTCCTAGGTTTTTATGGTGGGACAACAAGGGGGCTTGAGCACCAGCACAGACTCCCCAATGCTGAGGGGGTTCCGAGCCTTGGGGGCCGGATCTAGGGAAGGTGAGGGTCGCATCCGGCCACAGGGCCTGAGGATCCTCACCCCTGCCTTAGAGATAGGTAAGTGTTCACAGCTGAGCAGCCTGTAGCATAGCTTTGCCAAACCCAGCATCATCTCTGGCCTGCTGAGTGATGACATAATGAGGCATGAATGTGTGGACAGAGGATCACATCACAGCCCTACAGATGTCTGGATCAGAATGTGTGCCAGGAAGGCTGCCAAGGAGGCGGCAGGTTCCGTGGGAGACAGTTTTTAAGCTAGCTCCCTCCCTCACCACTCCCCCGAGGACTGGCTCCCTCTGGCCCCCTGCGCTGTAACATTAGTAAAAGTGGAGAATGTTCCGTGCTCTGTCCCTGGCAGCAAGAAGAAACAGAGTTTGGGGAGTTAGCAGCAACCTGTATACCACTCCATGCTGGCACCACTCCAGAGGGCACCAGAGTTGTTCTCCTGTGGATACTGCTCAGAAGAAAACTTCCAGCACCAGTGCATGTAGACAGCACATACACCTAATGTGGAATGGACATGAGAAGCACTTGAAGAACTTTTCTTTCCCAACAACTAATCAATCAAAATGCCCATTGACAGTGGTTAGGCAGCTGGTATGCTGCAACTGCTGCTTATTATGCACATGACCAGTTCTAGGCCAACTTGTTATTTTCCATCTCCCACAACTGTTGCCATCTCTTCTCATTTGCTTAAACCAGTGATGCTCCACCTTTCCTTTCCACCTGGCAATATATGACACATAGGATGACTATGACTCCTTGATGCCCTATTTGCAACCCATGTATGGATCATGACTTCCAGACCAAGAGCCTGTGGATTAAGCTGCAAACTCCCTGGACAGGGATTGTCTCTTATTACATGTTTCTGAAGAAAATTCAACACATACAGGCCCTAATCCAGACTGGAGTCTCTAGACACTGCTTCAGTACAGATATTTAACAAAAATGCATTTTAAAGCTGGAGAAGGGGGCAGTCCTCACCTGCAGTAGCATTTCCTGTAACCAGGCCTCTTCAGTCCTGCAACATCAAACACATGTGGAGTAATAACCTGGCCAAACCTACTGACTTCTTGCAGCCACCCAAGATTTCTCCAAAGCCATCCTATTTGAAACAATGTCAAAGATACTGCATGGATGCAGCGGCACTGGGACAGTCACCCTCTCCCTCCTGGGAAGCTCAGAGACACAGGGCCTGTTGCCTACCAGTGGTTCTCCTCTCTTCCAGACCCCTTGCAGGAGGAGTTTGATTTTCTTTGCATCCCTCAAATTTCAGCTCACTTAAAAACTACTTGCTTACAAAGTTAGACATACCAATACAGAAGTGTCACAGCACACTATTACTGAAAAACTACTTAAGTTCTTTATCACACAGTTCTAAATCAACTGGAATATATTGTATTTATATTTCAGTACAGGCAGTCCCCGGGTTACGTACAAGATAGGGACTGTAGGTTTGTTCTTAAGTTGAATCTGTATGTAAGTCGGAACTGGCATCCAGATTCAGCCGCTGCTGAAACTGACCACCAGTTCCAACTTACATACAGAATCAACTTAAGAACCCCAAGCGTCCCCAAGTCAGCTGCTGCTGAAACTGATCCGCAGCTGATT